GCTTTAGGCTTCAGAACACAGAAAACGTTTTTGCTCTCACCATAGGCAGCAATATCGACAGAAAATTATTGCATTTCTGGTTCTTTTGCAAGGGCAAAAATAGTCAAATTTTCAACTCAATTGTAATATGATTATGAGCCAGTTAACTAGCAATTGATAGGGCGAAATAGCCGCCTAGTCGTTGTCGAGCGTATTGGTATTGTATCTAAACTTCAATTCGACTCAATTTATATTGCATGCCGTTGGCATCGCAGAGAGTTAAGCAAATCTTATCAGCTAAAACGACTGGCCAGTTGTCTTGGCTGTTTCAGTATTCAGTCTTTGTCTGCACACAGGCAGCTCAACATGTCAGCGTGGGCAGTCTCCAATACAAACCTCTATGACGTCACGCCGAATGCCAGTGGCGCCGCAGGACCTAGACATCGGCGGCTGCTGCGTCTGGCCTGGCAGACGCTCGCTGCCAGATGCCAGCAGCTGGGGGATTTTCTGAGGCGGGAGACGAATAAGCCGCTGCCCAAAGAGCTGCGTCGATCGTTGCGACTGAATAAATCGGCTAAACGGAAGGGCTATCAGCATTACGAGAGCGAGGCAGATAAACGGTAAGTGTATTGGCCAACAAAAAAGTTAGATAAGCCAAAAGATTTTGTTTACCTGTAGGCGTGTGTAAACATATATTGAATACTTGTATATATTAATAAAATATTTTATTTTAGGCGCATCAAGGACTATTTGAATGAGCCCATTAATATATCGGTTCGAGTGGGACCTGCCTATGAGTATAGGCCTTCGAGCTATTAGCCAAATGAGACATAATTAGCCTTAAACTATAGAAATATTAGATAATTACATTAACTTTAAATTATATTTCTCTTCGTATTTGTTAAACACTTTCAAAGTTTCAATTTGAGCATTTTAGACTACATTCAAACCATTTACAACTTTTAAAGCTTTTATAAAAAGTTTTAATTTTATATGTAAGCGTTTACTACACTGTGCTGAGCTTTAAAGCGTGCGGCAAGCTTGTCGAGCTTTTAAGCTCTCCAAAGCACATGTATATGCCGGCGCTGCTCTTTGCTTAGCCCAGCTGCACTCTTATTACATATTCTTTTAAGTTTTCGAATACCAACTTCTCTTAAATGCGCCCACACAAAAGTTTATTGCCCCGCTCCCAGAAAGCGAATATGTCGACGTGCGCTACACTTGCTAGGCATTTAGACTTGCTGTAAGCTAGAGTTTGGTGTTAACTACCTGAGTAAACTATGATCACACATAAACACACCATCCGTGATTTACATATACGACTCCACAAGTTAGCCCAATATATATAGACATTATTTAAAAAAATTTTAAAATAACCGAACTTTGTAATTTACATAAAATGATAAGACTTTAATTTTACCTGAAACGAATATATAGCAATTATAATTGGAAGTTACATTTATAACAATTTTGATTTGTTTATAAGACCTACAATATACCTGAAACGAAAAATATAAAAACTATTTGGAAGTTCCATTCTCAAGAGCAGCAGCTCAACCAATGCTTTGTAGCGCATTGATAAGTTGAAAAAACTCTTTCAAAACCGCCGAAAGCACGAGCTAGCTTTTCCTTTCAACAGCTCCACCGTTCGCTTTGTGCTCACTCTTACTCTTTCTCTCTCTCTATATTTCACTTGCGCTTTGTCCGTAACCATGGCGCCACATACACACATACGTCACAGAAAGCGTAGACTCCTCTTTTTTATGTCAGCTTAGTGTGAAAAACGTGCTCAACGCGGAAATGACATTGATAGTAAAATTTCAGCAAAGTGCATAACGTTCAGCGGCTAGAAAATAAAAAAATAAATAACAGAAAATAGATTCTAACTAAAATACAAAACTATGAAGTGTTATAAGAAATAACTACAATTCTGTTATGTAAAGTGAAATTTTTTCGATTTAAACCCTTGGCTTGTTTATAGTAAACAGTGCATTTCGTAGCACATGAATTTATAATTTAAATAAAAAAAAATCCCAAATATAATAAAAATGAAGCTAATTTCAACGCTTGTGTACATTCTAGTGGCATTCTATAAAGTCTTCAAGAAATTACTGTAAGTTGAATTTATTTTGGGCGCATGTTGATACGTAAATTTAATTATTGATAAAACAACAAATCACGCTACAAGGAGACTGTCCAAATACAAAAAATATACAACAAAAACAACGATGACGGGGACAATATCCATTTGCATGCAATTGGATTTTTCTGTTTTTATGAAATCCCACCAAATTGTTTATTTCCTTTGTGCACTCATTATACCATTTAACGGTCACCTTCTTTGATTTTGTTTACGTCTGTGTGTGTATGTGTTTGCTTATGTATGTGTAGTTCGTAGTTTATTACACAAAATATTTTTGACTTGTATTTCAATGCGTCTGAAAGAGCAACTCAGTCTGTCAAAGAGTGAGAGTGCTTGCTGAGAGAGCAGCTGGCTGGCTGGCTAGCCAGCTCTCCCGCTCACTCTCAATCTCTTTGCCGCTTCTCGTCTAACTGTTTGTTTGGGTTTGAGGCAGCTAGCGAATTAGCTGCTGTTGACCCCCGCATGCTTACTTGCACTTGATTCAGTGTAATTTACTTGAGTACTGACAGCAGAAATGGGCTTTTAATTAATATAACGGCACTTTGTGTATGCGTGTGCTAGTGTATCCATAGCCAGCACATTACTTGGCTTTGTTGAGGGCGTTGCCTCCGCAGTTTAATAAGCTTTGTTGTCGAATATGTGTCCTTTTTGTGGATCTCTGAGTTGAGTGAACTCGCCGGACTTGGGAGCTTTATGTTTACGACTGCGCAGGGGCTTAATTTATAAGAATAGTAAGAATAATATTCACATTTATTATATTGTAATAAACTATTATATTTGCTAACTGCTTTATATGTATATATTTAATGTCAATGTTATGACAGAACATTTTTGCACAAAGAGCATCAAGTTGTCAGTGATATTTAGTATCATCGTTTCCTTCCTAACGATATCAGATAACGTATTACAAAAAGTCGAAAAATTCGTTGAAGGTGTAATTAATGTATTTTCTGTTAGGTAGAACATTTCTGGACAGAATTAAAATAAATAAATAAGTATGGAAATATATTTTTATTTAAAAGACATATTATTGCTATGAAATCCACATTACCTGTTTATAGCTTCACCTCTGCTGACGTTAAACAACTTACTTTCTGAATTCTCAATGAAGTCTAGGTGAGCTTAGAATATGGTATTAGTTACCTAGACAACTTTATCTACTTATATTCGGTATCAGAATGTAACTTTACTCACGGTTATTCATCAATAGGCTGTCTTCCCACAATGAGTACGTGCCCATTCACATGACTACCGCTGTATTCCTTACCTTCCCCAAGCACATTAAATATTTCACCTATACCGCGTATAGCATTGTGTACACAAAATTTCATCGTAAAATTCCCCAAAAAACTCGCCTCAACCGTTATGACAAACTTGTAATTACCAAGAGTAGGTAGAATGTACTCAATATGGCCCCACTTGAAGCTACTCTGTGCTACTAGAAAACACTTTCAGTGATAAGTGCATACAGCTCAAATTCCAAAAAAATAAATATAAGCAGACATATTTACGCAAATACATATACAATTACGCATATTCGTATAGTATACAATAGTACAGTGCGGCACGCTTTCGTAAACAAAAATCAAATCACAGCGGAATATATATGTATATATGTATGTATGTATGTATACTTGTGTGCACATATACATACGTACATATATGGGCGTTACGGACCATCAGAGATAAATGCGCTAGTGTGCCGCATGCCACGTAGGATAAATTTAATTTTGGGTGGAGGAAGCTCTGTAGCAAGGCCGTCCGTCAGTAAATCTAGTCGCTATCTAATCGGTATGGCTAGACCACTGGCTGTGAACAATAAAAATAAACCGACTTCTAATCAGCTGTAGACCCAATACCCTTGATAAAATCGCTTTTAATGGACCCCATCAGACCGGCCGGCCGGCTCACATGTATGAACATATAGTTTGGTGATCTGCTGCGCATATGCAACCGCTTGAAACTAATTCGGACCAATTAGTTCTGGAGCTCTCGTTTCATGCGTCACTTTTCGTATGCATTTGGCCTATGGCCAGCCGTGTGTATTATCGCGGAGCTGGATCGTAAATATTACTGGGCCACTCTATAGCGAATAGTCGATAATGCCGATGACAAATTCCATTTGCAAATTTCAAGTGGCCCACTGCCAAGTTGGCGCTCGTGTGGCCCTTGATAAGATACGCGCCATGCCAGACATTAGAGCCTCGGGTTCAGACGCGACAAACATCTTTCAGTGAATGTTATCAGGTGCAACTTGTGGATGCGGTTAATACCAGTATCGTATTGCGGCGAAAAAGAGAGAGAATATATGTCTTATAATATATGTATATTTCAATAAAAATAAGTATTCATTTTAGTATTTTATTCCGATCGTGGTTTAATTATTTATGTTATTTATTTTAGTCAAAGGCTGCGCTTTCTTTGCTATAAGCCATTTTAACTGGGTAGAATTTCTATGAATAGAATTTCTAAGTTTTTATATCTAATATCTAGAGGTATTTCAGCACACACTCAGCCTCAACCACCTGAGAGCTTATGAAGGCGCGGCCTCTTACAACATTTGTTTGCTTTACAGGCCCTGAGAGAATGGGCTACTGAACTTAATCTAAATGGGTTGTTAGATAGACACACTAAGAGAGAGAAAGAGAGTGAGAGAGGCAGCGTTAAATGAGAGAATATTTTGAACCCGCTGCTCACTGTTGAATTGTGCAATATATACATCGTATCGCAGCTGGCACAACAACAATACCGCTCGGTACTCGGTACTCAATAGAGTATGGAGCACACTGTATCCTTATCAGCTTGGCAATATGGCGAGCGGAGAGCGGGATCGATCGCCCTATAAATGGCGCAGAGCAACAATTGTTGCTTTTAGTTCTTTAAGAGTTGGCGGCGGGTTTGAATCGCTGACAGATCGCTAAATAGGGCCCCAAAAGAGGCAATTTGACAACAGTTTAACGCAAATCCTGTGAATTTCGCGAACAAACTGCATTCGCTTGAGCTTTCACCAAATATTTATCCCCAATTTGGACAATGTGCTGTGGCGAGGTGCTGGCATAAAAATGGTGAGTTTAAGGACTGCAAACTCAAAGAAACCAACCAGCTGCCCGAACCAGAACCACTTGCAAATGCGTTAAGATCCCCTGTGCAATGCGTACTATCGTACAGTATAGAATAGCATAGTTAACGCAGTTGCGGAGCCCACCAACTTCAGGCGGACAGTTTCAGTCTACGCCGGTACAGAACCAGTTTTTTCCAAATCGAGATATGTGCGTCCGACCATGTGCCCCAATGCTGCTGTTGTATAACGAAATATCTCGTTCGTTTTACTCGCAAAACAAAGGGTACTCACACTTTACGTACATATATATACTACAGGCGTCTAGTGCAGCTGTTGATCTTTTAAATATTATATATGTATATGTATATGTATATTGATATATACACTTACTATCACCGTAAAGGGCATTAATTTGTTGTAATCGCGAAATCAAACTGAATATGTAACACATGAGATTTGCTTTTCTTATTCATAATTTGAAACTATTTCATAGAAGTACAATTTCAAGGTTGATTTTTTTTTTTATTAAATATTGATTCATTTTAATCTGCTGCAGTAACTAAAGGTGTTACTGTCTCACTTTCGTGTATATTATCTAATGCCCTAACATATAGGGTATCTCTTGTCAAGCTGCCTTATTGTCCAAGTGTTCCCACAGACCGTCTGCTGATAAGGCTATCAATTAAAGCTGACGATGATAAGTCCCATGGGATTTTATTTGTTTTTCTTTACTTTGTTTCCCAAACAAATTGACATAAAGTTCGGCAGAGTGAAGGACGATCGATCACCTCTCGCTGGGCGCAGGTGTCTAGGAAGTGCGCCCCACCCCCCTTTCCGTTGTTGTAACTGGGCGCACACCCCACACGCCTTTATTAAGCTGCCGTGAGAATTGTCCGCTCACTGCCAAGTTCATGAAACATTTTCAACACGTTGACGACTGCTAGACGTGCTTCATATATATATGTATATATATATGTATAGTAACATGCAAACATTATATATGCACACATATATATTTGGGACATATAAATAAAACTCAATGACGGACGCTGCTCTTGTTAATTTTGCTTCGCTTTCCGTGCTAGATTGCCAAAAAAAAAAAAAAAAACGAGAGAAAAGCAAAATCAAAATAAAATAAGAAATGTGTTATCTGCAGTTAGCACCAGGCTCCTAAATGAATTAGGGCTGACTAATACCGCAGAGTAGGAAGTAAAGGTTTCACGTCCATTTAGAAGCACTCAAACGTAAGACCACCTTGGGGTATGTACAGTTAAACGAAACAGTTTTTGTTTATGATCTAGCTGGCGTTTATCAGCTAAACAAACATCGTAAACACCGAAAATATTTTGACCAATAAATTTGAGCGACTGAAAGAATAAGAATTTTTATCGGCAGCCGCAAAGTAGGCAACACATTTAGTAAATCATGTTTATTTTTATTTTGAGACACAAAATCGGTCTGATTTCTTTACTTTCAGGGTGCTGTTACATTTGATAATTGTAAGATATTAAAAATACGAAATAAAACAAGTAAGAGGCTCTAGTCGGGATTTCCCTCCGGCCCAGCTCGCGCTACCAACTCATTTGCTTTAGCAGTAATATGAAAAAACAAAAAATTAAATAGTTTCCCAATTGGACTTGTACTACTGGCCACAGCCTCTACTCAAAGCCATACAAAAAAAAAATTAATGTAGCAACACAGACACATATCACAGAAAACAAACAAGCGCAATTGCAATGCTGATTGTAAAATCCAATAAAGACGCGCATGAATGTGTGTGTGTGTATTTGTATACGGAAATTCTTGCAATTTGCGCTAGCTGCCTTACAAACACGTGTCAATATAAGCACACCTTATCTTTAATAACTTCTGTGTTGCTTAACAGATGTTGATGTGATCTTTAATAGTAGATCTTATTGTGCTATAGAATTTAAACAGACGGACATGGCTAGGTCGACTTGGCTACTGATGCTTGTCAAGAATATATATACTTAATAGGGTCGGAGCTGCTTCCTTTTGCACAAACACAATATACCCTTTTTAACCATTATTAATGGGTTCAGGGCATAAAAATACATTTAAATTCGAGATAATTTGCCGTATATTCGTACAAAATGTTGACTGTCGAAAAATATAACCTAATTTTAAAATCACTGAACATAAATAGTACTATTTAGCTTAGGCAATTTTATTTATATATGTGGTCAGAATTCGCGAGGTCTTACTGTGCTTCTGTATATAAATAAATGTACATTCTTTTTATTAGCACATGCATTCATAGAAATTTTGCAATTGCATATTGCGGAAATAAAGGTTTTCATATTATTAGCTCATATAAGTTAAATGAAATAAAATGAAATACAATTAATTTGTATTTGAATGAATGATAATCGTGACGGCCAAATGTGAAATTGCATGAAAATTTATTAGCTATTTTTTTGTTTTGGAGGTGAGAATATAAGAAATTAGCCCCATTCAGAGTGATAGACTCTCTCAGATATTGACAGTCTTATGGGATGCTTCATATATTTACAAGTTATTATTATAATATTTGCAACAACATTCTGAATAGAATTCGGGCTTATAACTTTTATTTGACTCCAAAAAGAAATAAAATAATAGTATATTCGCATAGATTACAATATTAAAATGATAGCCTTTATTTATATAAATTAGCCAGCGTGCTGCAATAGCAGGTTGAGAAGTGAAACTTGAAGATATAACAAGATTTATGAATGTGGCAAAATAAACATGTGGGTCTACTGTTGGCAATTCGACGTACAAATGCACTTTACAAAACTTACAAAGTGTTAATTAATTGAAACATTTCTTATTAGCAAAGTGCAACAAAGTTGAACAGCTGTCAATCCGACCTGATGCATTGTTTTCTTATATAGGCTGCATATATATTATAGGGATGGATTAATCATCAGATAGTTGTAGATTTAAATCGTTGTGTTGTCAACTCAAGTCTTGGGCCTAGAGTCAATGCTATGAGATTCGATTGGCGAACGCCTCTACCGAAAATAATAATTTGTTTAAACAAAAGAAAGCAAGTGATATATAAAAATTATAAATAGAAAATTGTTGGCAGCACTTTTATTATTTTATTTCATTTTATTTTATTGCTAATTTTGTGTTTTGACATTTTGGAAAGTGCGCGCACAAAATCTCGTTTGCCTTAACTAGAGGAGCGCGCAGTCAGAGAGAATCAAAATCATGTACTTATGACTGTACAACATCGACAACAACAGCAATAAGCAACAGAAATAAGCAACAACAACAACAATAAGCAACTACGGGCTCAATTAATAAGCGGCGGGCAGCGGGGCACCTTGTAGCGAGACACAGAGGCAGCGAGGCAGCGTCCACTTGATTGCCTCGATCTGGCTAGAGCGGGCCAAAGATATATAAATAAGGAAAAGCAACGCACGCGCGTATTAACACATTGGATGTTCGGTTCTAAACGCGCAACGGTTGTTCGAAAATCGCGCATACGCCGCGTGGCCAATGAGTTAAAATAGAGTGTTGAAAAGTGTTAAGAAATATGAACAGTCACAATGATAAGTACGAACAGCGCCTGGGCCACCGCCGTCAGCCCGCGCTCGGCAAGGCCATGCCCGTGACAGCCTTGCTGCTCAATCTGAATCTGGCGCAGACCAAAAAGGCGAGCCATGCACGCAGCGCAGCTGCTAATGCGGATGAGATTGAGAATGAACCGCCGCCGCGTTACTTTAACATTGCAGAGGAACTGCAGCCGCCACCCTCGCCCAACGACAACAATACGCCAGAGCCGCCGCACTACGCAGAGCAACAGCTGCTTGGCGATGCCAAGACGGACATGCCCTGCCTCAACTGCAGCCAGCGGACGCCGGAGGGCTTAAGTGGTCCAGGTCTGGCCATCAATGAGATGTGCCAGCGCTTGTGCAACGATGAGTGCCGACATGGCCTCAGCTTGTCTGGCCGCCTGGCCACCCAGGATGCAGAGCAGCTGCGCCAGGATTTCCTGAAGCAATTTGAAATTGCGGAAGCGCTGGCCAAGACCTCGGCAATGACCTCGACAACGCAAATGAAACAGCGTCTCGCCGCGCGCAAACTGGAAATGGAAATCGAGACCCAGGCGGCGGGCACTGAGCCAGCCTGGCTGACCACACCCAGCGACGAGGCTGCGGCTGCTGCCGTAGCTGCTGCTGCTGCTGCTGCTGGAGACACGTTGCCGCCAATCGCTGATTATGAGTCGCCGCCGCCGCGAGATTTGCTGTTGTATCTTGTGAGGTGAGAGATAAATGCGAGCGGGCGTGCTCCATACACAAACATTGGCTGTCAAAACTTGTTGCTGATGTTGTTGTTGTCAGTTGTTTTATTTTTTGCTGTTGCTAAGTTGTTGCCGCTATTGGTGGCCAGCGGCAGTTGCGCTTATAAATCAAGTTCATGGCCAACACTGACAGAATGTCAAGTGTTCTTGGGCATTGTCAGGCCCCAATAAACTTGGCTTCAATCAATAATATAACTAACCTTGCTCAATGCATGCGAAAAATATTTATGAATAACATTTACAAGACTTGCTGCTATTATCGCCAAACTGGGCTAACTGAGTCAACGGTGCTTGAAAATGAGTTAACTTATTTTCTATCTACATACCTAAATATATCTATAATTACTTCACGGCTATAGTCAAATCTTTTATGATTATGAACATAATATATTTTACCTGCGGCTAAAAAAGCTACCTAAAAAACTTAGACAAATAATGTCGTTTTTAAAATATCTAAGTTAATGCTTTGACACAACCCAATTAATAATTAATCAAATAGGAATATGTTCGTATCTTTTCCTAATATTTCCCAATGCATATAATTCCCAAATGAAATATATACTCGCATATGAAAAATATTTCAACTGTGTTGACTCTCGCCAGGAATTTTATATATGTATACTAACTATTTATAGCAGCGAGTCTTATAAAAACTTTAAACTTTGGAGAGAACTTATATAATAAGAATTTTTGTTCATAGAACTCGACAGCTAGTTCTTAATTTAGAACTGGTTTTGGTGTTTTATTTCGTAAATTTTTGGACAAACTACGTATGATACTATATAATCTGAAATTAAAATGCAGCTACAGCTGCGTGTCAACATTCAAATTGGCAGTTTTAAGAACTAGTCACGTGGCTAATGATAGCATTCGTTGAGGTATCTGTGGCGCATTGCAAGTGGTTTACCAAGTGGTTCAACATGTCCAAGTGAAAACCCGCCCTCCACCCCCGCCTATCTAAAACTAACCGACTAATGCTTAAATTTTTTCCACTGTTCTATTCTATTCTATTCTTTTAGGAAATACAGCTTGAACCGCGTCTCTTTGACATTGCCATATTGACTCTTAATATAAAACATTTCAAGTTAACCTAATCCAAATCAAAATCAAAATCAAACCGATTAATTAAAAAGAAAAAAGACGCTTGCCTAATATTTAATCCAAGAAACAGAGAAAACACATCCAACAAAATGGAGTTTTTAATGAAAACATCGCGTTTGATTGTCACATCGAAGACGTTTGCGCGGCGTGTAGCGGTGCCTATACCCAGGTAAAAAGATACAGTATCTTTAAGTAACAGATACTTGGCGCATTTGCCAGCTGCCGCTCATTACGCATGTAACTGCGCCGTTGCATAAATTGCGCTCGCCTATGCCATAAGATACGAATATGTATCTGTATCTTTGGCCTGCAGCATATGGGAGCAGATATGCCGAATATGCGCATTTCAGGCCGCCGAGTGTCTGCGAAATTTGCATGCTAAGAAAATTTGTTTAGGCATAAATCAGTCGAGCCATTCCCATGTCCAGCCCTACTTTTGTTTTCATTACAATACAAACGAAAGCGAGACAATGGCGTGCAGCTCCATGTGAATGTATCTACATAAAGAATTTTACGCATAAATATTTAGCAAGCTGCCAGTTGGCGATTTATCCGAAGCTATTGTTGTTGTTGACGTTTTTGTTGTTGTTGTTGTTATTGTTACGCTGCTCATTTTTCGCCCAACTGAGCAACGCACGTGAGTAGAACGTATTGATCTTGTTCTGTATCTTTCAGATACATCTCACTTTGTGCGCGCTTGACTGGGTGTGCGTATGTGTGTGTGTACGCTGAAATACTCGTTTATGCGTGTTTGCTCTCTTTCTGTCTCTCTCTCTCTTTCCCTCTCTCCCTGCCTCGCTCACTCTCTTCTGTGTCTGTCTGGCTGATCTCTAATAAAACGCCGCATTTCAGTTGCCATTCAGTTTCGCAAATGTCGCTTACAAGCGCACTTCGCACAATTTTTGGCAAAACCCACACTCCAAACAAAACTCACCCAAATCCCAACCACCATCACCACCACCACCACCAACCACAAACACAACCACAACAACAACTGGCTTCTGATCCTGTCGGCCACATGGAGCAAGCGCTGCAATTGAATCACGCCAATAAGGCGCCCTGCAAGAACGACCGCAAGGCCTTCCTGCAAAGGGTGATGCTGACCAGGTGAGACCCGAAATCACCAATCTATTGATTGATTGCGTTGCCAAACGCTTCCAACTGGTTTATAATCGTTATGCGCGCGGTGCTCGAAAACCAGCTAAACAGCTGTAAAGCTATTGACCGAGCGACTTTTTGTCTGTTTTTTTTTTTTATTAAGCCGCATGCGACGTCTTAGCTTGTCCGAAGATTTTTGCGTGGGTGGGCATGAATCGCGTTCTCTAGCTTGTGAAAGCTGGTATCAGACTCATGTGCACACTCATGCGCACTTACTCAGTTTTACTCAAAAATATCGGGCACAACGTTGCTAACAAAATCATTTTATGGTATTTGATATTTTTAAGCTCACAAATTATGATGTTCATAAAGTTTACGGTCCTATTGAACTTGGTGAAGCTTAAAGTTAACACCACAATTAAGTCAACTTTCTTCTCAGCTAATTTTTTGAGGGAAATAAAAATCATATTGATTTAACATTCGATAATTTACTATATTAAAAATACTGTGCAGGCTCATATATTAAACGTTAAGAGTAACAAGTATTCTAGGGTAATTAACTGATTAAATCAACTTGTTTACTTATTATCATATATAAATAGATATATAAATAAAGAAAAATTCCATTTGATATACATTATTTATATAGCACCCGCCATAAGTAAAGAATTTCTTAAAGTTTTAAAGAACGTTATATATATAGACAAAAAATTTGCAAAAATATAGTTCCCGAATTTCTTCTATATTTTCATTCCTAATAGCTGATAGATGGAGTTGCTTCTTCCCATTTTCGTTCTTCAATACTCTGATCCCTATTTTGTGCTTGCTTCTAATGCTCCAAAGCCACATTTCAAACACACGCCACAAAACATTTCTGTTCTATAAATTTCCCAAATAATTGCCTAAAGATTCAATTAAATATTCTTTTCAGCAGAGTTCAAAGCTCTATGGCAAAGTTCTACGTCAGCCAAAGGCATAGTCATAGTTTGTTCATTTTCAGCATAATACTACGAAAAATTCTCTTTAGAAACCCGAATGAGTTGTGAGTATTTACGTAAGATGGTTGATCAAATCTTTTCTACAAATGCTGTAAACAAGCCAATTGTTACTGTAATTGTTATTATTCATTTGTTTCTTTTTTGCTGTCTTGGTTATTGTTGCTACTGTTCTTGTTATTGCTTTAGGCTTGTGAGCATTGTGTTGGCCGTGAATCATATTTTGAAGATTCGATTGAATTGCACAAAAAAATATAAAAATTATAAAAATACTTTGTATATTTCTTTTTAACTACTTTCTTTATTAAATGTTAATTGTACATTTATTATTTTTGCCTTAGCAAATAGAATCGATAGGAGAATTTTTGAGCACGATCATTATCTTAATTTGAAGTTCAATCAAAATTAACTGTTTTTAAGTTTTATACTAAAAATCTGAATCCTCATCTTAGGATGGGCTCCTTTAACTCGGCGCCCAAGATCAACAATGTAGACTCCCAGGATGATGGCCTCGAGCTGCCCAAGGGGCTGAACACCGCCGCCCTGCTCGAGCACGTGCAGCAGCTGCGCGGCGGAGGCATCGATCAGCCCTCGCTGCTCAGCCGCTGCTTCCTAAAGCCATCGCTGCTTAGCGAGGATGTGACCGATGGTATGCGCTGTCTCAAGCTGAACTCCGTCTCACGCGGTAAGTGCCAATAGATCGCATGTCCTACAGAGATTCTTTATGAACTTCGCTCACAGTTTGCAGTGCTCCAGTTGAGACAGATGGCACGCAGAATATACGATTGCTGCAGTGGAACATTCTCTCGCAAAGTAAGTGAAATTGAAAATTAATAACATATTTCGGTATTTTAAATATATTAAAGTGGAAAATTAAATTCAAAAACTGATTAGTTTTTCACAACTTATATTCTAACAAGGAAATATGTGAAGGCAGAGTTTTGTGATATAAAGAAAGGTGTCTGAAAGGAAAATTGTAAATCGCATTTAATTTGCACTCCGAAAAACGTTGTCAAAAGAGATGCTTAAGGGGATATTTAAATGAAAAAAAATAAAATAATTTCTTATCTTAATTAAAATTGAAAAAATTCTAATAATTTGTGGTAATCTCTTGTTTTTTTTTTTGTAGCTCTCGGTCAGCACAACGACGGTTTTGTGCGTTGCCCCGAAGAGGCTTTAACCTGGCAGCATCGCAAGTATTTGATTGTCCAGGAGATTCTGCAGAACCAGCCGGATGTGGTTTGTCTGCAAGTATTTATTCACGATCATACTTAAACGTAATGCAGTCGCGCTTTAACATCAACATTTCCGCACTATGCAGGAGGTGGATCACTTCAAGTTCCTGCAGACTGTGCTGGGCAGCCAGAACTATGCTGGCATCTTCTTCCCCAAGCCGGACTCGCCGTGTCTGTATATAGAGCAGAACAATGGACCCGATGGCTGTGCCATATTCTACAAGCGCGACAAGCTCCAGCTGCTCGGCTATGACACGCGCATCCTTGAGGTCTGGCGTGTCCAGAGCAACCAGGTGGCAATTGCCGCTCGGCTGCAGCTGAAGTCCAGCGGCAAGGAGTTTTGTGTCTGCACCACCCATCTGAAGGCTCGGCATGGCGCCCTGCTGGCCAAGCTGCGCAACGAGCAGGGCCGCGATCTGATCCGCTTTGTCAAGCAGTTTGCCGGCGAGAGTCCGCTCCTGTTGTGCGGCGACTTCAATGCGGAGCCTGTTGAGCCCATCTATGCAACAATCCTAGGCTGCGATCTCTTCAAGCTGAGCAGCGCCTACGCAGATATGCAGCTCGAACGGGAACGGGAACGGGACCGTCAACAGCAGTTCACTGAGAGCTGTGAGGATCCGAATGAGTTCATTTCGCAGTCAATTAAGCGTGAACCGCCATACACCACCTGGAAAATTCGCGAGGATGGTGAAGAGTGCCACACCATTGACTATGTCTTCTACACGCCTCAGCAGCTTAAGGTAAGTGGGGTCGTGGCAGAAGTCAAAATAAGCAACTCGAATGTTAATACATTATTCCGCAGATCAAGAACTGCCTGGAATTTCCAGCCGGCGAACAGATCGGAAAAAATCGTACGCCCAGTTTTCAATATCCATCGGATCATTTCTCACTGGTCTGCGACTTTGAGTTGCTGGATGAGCCCCGTTCGGAGAGCAACAACAAATCGCATGGCACCATACAGTAGTGGAGGAGCACAGGAGCACATACTAAACGTACAGCAATTACATCATAAATTGTGATATTAGTTCTTAGATACATTTTAGCTACTTGCATGTACATACAAAACTTTATGACTGTTGCACATCAAAACACTTTCTAACCGAAATTAATTCAAATTTCACAAATAAACGAGTGTAACTTTGTAGTATCCACTGTGTTTGTGACGCTATTTGATAATCCTTGCAAATATTTGTCGTATTTTCAAATAAGTTTCGTATGAAAAATCTCAACAAATGATGCAATCTCGGTAGATGAAGTATCCTCAGTCATTCCAAGGGCAAGCTATGGTAAACAAAGTTATTTGAGAAACTTAAATAAAGTGTTAAGTTTTATTTTAGAACGATATTTGCAAATCGATTTGAAGTCTATTGAATTTAGAACCAAATTTTGGAATGAACGTTTTTCGCACCGATTATTAATAGTAATCAGCTTTCGCTCGGAGGGGTGGATATTGCGAAAATTGTGAAACACGTCTTGAGTGTATTTTTACAAAGATACATAGATTACAAAGATACAAAAATGTATACATCCGTTTTCCGCCTATTTTACACACTAGAATTACGCAAAGCATCCTCTTAGCGTGCACCTTCATCACTTAAGGCAACTACAGCCAAAATTGCCCAGCTCTTATGGTTTGGACTATGCGTTGATCACCGATCAGTTAGTCAGTCAGGACCAAGTTTTATACAAATGCTTAATATATCAAGAGTGAAAGATTTTAACTTGGTCACAATCTTGTAAAACGCCTTGCCAGGGTATTTTGAAACTATCTTAAAAATTGCGAACACGAAATATCTGTGCAAATGCATTAAAATTTGTATTTTGCACAGATAACTTTCTTTATACATAAACGCATTCAATTTGTATTAAGATTATGTTTAGCTGATTGCAATGTAAATATTTGTATATCTGTGCCAAGTTGCCTCAACATACCCTTCAAAGCTAAGAATATAGTCATATCTATTAACAATTTTTTTTGTATTTATTGTGAAGGTGTTACACATTTGCTAGCAGAATCATAATGCCCCATGCAAATGGTAGTGTGTGTACTATTAGAAACTTAAGATATCAAATTTCTAGCGTGGTCGCTAGTTGGCTGACAAATTGAGCGGGCTATTAGCACAAAACACGATATCTTCCAAATTGCAGGCACTGGCAAAAAAAAAAAACGTACTGAACAGGTCGGCGACAGTTGTTGCATAACAGAGCAAAATGAAGATACATATTATAAATAAATTATACATGTATTATGTATGCATTTATCAAATAATATACATGTTCGCACTAAAATTTAATTAGGGTCCACTAACACTTAGCTCCGATTGTAGGAGCATTTACAATAGGGCCAAGATAGCAGTCAGCACGACGGAGGTGGCGACCATTACATAACCGGTGGAGTAGACCTCTTTGATCTTCAGGAAACGGCCCGTGTCCCAAATCAGATGGCGTATGCCGTTGGCCGAGTGATAGCCAACCGGATAAGCGATGATGAACTTAATGGCGGTCAAGGCGGCGCCGCTGAGCTGCAGACCCTCCACCATGGTCACATAATGACCGATGTCTTGCGAGGCGATGAGTGCGCCCAACCCCAAGCCCCAAACGCCTATGCCCAGAGCCAGGCCGGTGCCGCGGTGCATGATGGACAGCATGGAGGTGAGCTGCGGCTTGTAGATGGTCAGGTGAGGCGACATCTGGCGACCCAGCCGCTCATTCTTCTCAAAGAAGCTCTCATCCTTAATCGTTGAGCCGACAGAGACGACTTTCAACGAAACCTGACGGTTAGCCGCGGCCACCTTGAGTCCTTGACGCAGCGCTGGTGAGCGCACAAGAGTGCTGGATAGTGCATACCTATAAAATTCCAATTAATTTTCTCCAAAATATGCGTACAATTGATAAATTACGTGCATTCTAAATTTTTTCCACCAAGACTTGTAAGCAGTGTGGCATCAACTCACAAGCAACAAAATACCAAAACAATCAATTCAAAAATACGAAAAATTTAATGTATCGATAATTTATTTGAGCAGCTGATTTGAAGTTATATACCAAAGTGGAACAGTTCTGTTAATTTCTGTTCGTTCTCGTCACAATAAAATATTTCTATATTTCAGTTATAAACCGTACGCAAGCCTGCCAAGTGAGGAGTAAAGTTTGTTAGGTGGAGCAAGCAAGTCTAAACTCCAATATTCGTTCGGATGCTCTCTTTTGCGTTGCTCTGTGCTACGTGTCGCAGTCTGAGCGCTATGGAACGGCGGGCAATTTGAAAATAGTATTTACTTCACTTAGCGCACACCGCAGCAATTAGTGCCGCACCGCGACCCGAGCCATCTTCGGATAATGCTAGCTCAAATTTGACTGAACCCGCTAGCAGCATATTCATACTTTCCGTTAACAGCGTATGGTAATTAGGATGATACCGATATACACTGCCATCAATGCCTATAGTCAAGTCCTTGACATTCATTTTGTTGATTAGGCAGACGAGCCCACATGCTGCCAGCTTTGCGGAACGCGTGGATATAGTCTCGCATATTAAGCGCAGACAGTCCAGATCCTTCTCATTATTCGTTCTGATGCCCAGGCGATCCATCACCATGGCGGCGTTGCGATGCGAGCCCGGCTGATCGGACTCAATCTCAGTTATGAAGCTAGTATCGAAATTCCCTTTTACTAGAATTTTCTGAGATGATTGGCCCTTAAAAATTAATTGCTTGTCCATCAATTCCACTATAACGAGTCGCACCAATTCGCCCATGTACATGCCGGAGATGCACTTCTCAAAGATCTGCTTCTTTGGATTGATCGAGTTCTTGTCGACTTGATGATCGTAGGATGTGCGTATGAAATCCAACACGCCATTGTCCCCAAAAGCTCCCCACTCGCAATTGATGATCATATTGGGCTTTGTGCTATTACGATACTCATCGAAGGTTTCGCAATTCACCGTCTTCTCCACGTAGCAAGCGTTGGAACCCGTGCCCACAATCATGCCAATTTTGCAATTACGATGGTTAAAGGCACAGGACATCAGGGTTCCAGTCGTGTCGTTCAATATGGCCACGACATTCACCTTCAAGTCGCCTCGACGCTTGACTGCATCCCGCAGCAATTCGACCACGTTCTTATTAATAACTCCTTCGGCTTTGAAACCCTTCGTCCAAGCGACCAAGGTGCCGCTGTCAATGCCAACCTGTTTGCATGGAAAGGAAAATGTAAATCCCAGTGGTGTATTCAATCGCTCCAATTTATGCTCTTTGCAAAATTCCGCTAGGCAACTGGCAATAAAGTCGAACAGTTTCGAGCCGGAACCCTCCTGTAATTCCCTACTAATGGCATAGGTCTTTCCGGTAATATCAATTTCTTTGTCATTTATCAGATTAACCAAGAGGACTCGAAAATTGGTACCGCCTAGATCCAGCGCCAGGTAATTTCCCCGCTCCTTTCCCGTGGGCAGCTCCTGTACGTAAGTGACAAAGCACTTAACCGTGGCCCTCGGATGTGTATCCCGCGTGAGACCCATATTGATTTCCTTGGTTAGGCGAGTAACGATCTCTTGCATGTTTTGTTTACTTATTATGAACTTCTCACAGATCGCATAGGCCTCCGGATACTGTTTCTTTGGATCAGACATTACCGAGGAGCTTCCAAAGGGCGGGGCCCAAGATTAGTATATATAAATTTGGAATTTTATGAAGTCCGCTTCGACTTGATGTTAAAATTAAAATAACATTCAGATTTTTTCCATTTTCGAGCACTGAGCATTTTCGAGCAACTAATGCGGAAGTAACTTGATTTAAAACGAAATCTTTTAAAAAAAAACCCTTTTGCAGCGTTTTTCGTTTCAAAAGTTGCCCAATGGGCCTTGGATTATCCACAGATTACATAGTTTATGTAGTCCTACTTTCATGCACAGGGACTTTACGCGTTAAGTAACCTTAAGATATTCGGGATTAAACAGAGCTTAAGTTTCGAAACACGTATAGTCTGACCCGAGGGCTGCACGTGAAGTTTGCTCAAAAATCGATACTCCCCGCGCCACATTAATCAAAAAAGAATGTGGAATATGTAAAAACAATCTATTAATATACATATAAGAAGATAATCAATATCATAAATAGGTTTGAAAGCTATAGTCTAGACATATTTTTCATAATAACGGAAGATGCCAGACCAGCTACGATAGCAGCACCCACGCCAGGACTATCCTGCGCAATAGTGATTTCAAACTTTAAGTCGGGATTGATTAACTCTGTGACTTGCGTATTGACGACCTCCTGGTATCTGGGATACAGGCGGTAAATGCCGCCATCGACAGCAATCGAAATATTTGCATAGTTCATGCGATTGATCAGGCAGGCGACTCCGGCACCTATCAGCTTGGCGGAGCGGGTGCTCACTGTATGGCAGATGAAGCGGAGCGTGGCCAAATCGCGTTCCTGGCAGTGGCGCATGCGGAACTTATCCATGACTTCCTGGGCCTTAACATAAACGTCAGGCGGATCCGAATCGATGGCCATTATCGATTTCATTTCCATTTTCCACTGTATGCCCATATACTCCAAATTGTGCTCCCGAAAAATGACGCCCATCTTCATGAGGCGCACTACAATGAGGCGCACTAGCTCACCTAGGTAGAGGGTGCTGATGCACTTCTCATAATAATTGCGGCCCGGATTACTGGACTCTGCATCGGCAATCTTGTCGAACTCGGTGCGTATAAAATCCAAGTGGCCATTAGTACCAAAGTTGCTCCATTCGGTGTTGATGATCATTAGCGGGGCGGTTGCATCGCCTTCATACAATTCGCACTCCACACTCTGCTCCACATAGGCGGCATTTGTGCCGGTGCCTATGATGAGGCCCATCTTACAGTTGATCTGCGACCAGGAGAGTGCCATCAGCGAGCCGGCAGAGATGTTAATAATGGAGTTCAGATTTATAGAAATATCCTTGTACTCGTCTAGTGCAGTGCGCAGCAACTGCACTATATTCTTGCCCACCGCTCCCTGGGCGCCATATCCCTTAGTCCAGTTAACCAGAATGCCCACGTCCAGGGACAGCTTGTTCAACGCAAAGGCAAAGGCAATGCCCATAGGCAGGTTGTCCTTCTCAACCTTTTTCTCTCTGACAAAGACCGCAATGTTATAGGCTAGAAAGTTGAATAGCGCTGTGCCACGCGACGCGGCGATCGTATGTGGCACAATGACGCACTTTGAGCTCATGTAGATGTCCTTCTCGCTGCCGAACCTAACCAGCATAATGCGGCAATTGGTGGGCCACATCTCTAGCGCTAGGTATCGACCACGCTCGCGCCCCGTCGGCAACTGCTGCACATAGCTGAGATAACATGGTATCGACGAGCGGTCGTGCGTGTCCCTGCCCAGACCGTTGAGTAACTCGCGGCTCATCGAATCACGGATGCTAAGCAGATGGTCTTCGTTGAGCATGAAGGGTTTGCATAGCTTCCACGCCTCGGGGAAGTCTGTCTCGGGATCGTATGGCATCTTGGAAAAAAATACTAACTTTTAATTTTAACTTACTGTCGTTGAAAATTTAAATAATATTTACGGGCTCCGCGCCACACTTTCCAGGGGTGTACAATATTTTTGATTGAACAACATTTGTGATTTATTTACAGTTCGAAAATTGTATTTAAGTGTAGAGTGTGAAGAAAATGCTTTAGAGAAATGCTTAGTTGACTAATTTGGTTATCCAGAGAAACATATGGACATGGGCTGTTTGCTATGCGCATGAATATGCAGTTGCCTGCCTGCCTGCTGCCTGCCTGCTATGACACGATGAATTCCGCGGCTATTGCTTAAGTGAGGTTAGGTGATCGCGCAACTATAAAACTAGGTTAAACTTAAACGCAGCAAGTAACAAACTACAATTATTAATAATTATTAATTATTTAATAAACTAACAAGCTGCCTGGTTTGCTGGTCACGTGAGAAATATATCCGGAAACTCGCCATGCAGCAGATCCGCGAATGGATGAAAGCTGTCCAGTGTGGCCAGAGGGCTGATGCACGCCGAGGGCTGCTGATCGCTGGCAAAATCAAAGGAGTCCGTCGAGTGGTCCAGCAGTCGCAAGCTTAGCTCCACATCTGGCTTGTCCAGTGGCAAGTTCATCGATATAGGCAAATCCCCACGTGAAGGCAGCACAGAGCCTGCAGACGTCAACAGATCAGGATGGTAGCTACTGTTGAGGCAGTGCAGCGAATCACTATCCGACTCCAGCAGCAATGTGTTTAGCTCGCTCAGCGCCTGCATGCCGAGCAGGCTGTCTGCGTCCAGCGTAGCGCTACCATGGACGCTGCCGCTGCTGCTGCAGCTACTAGAGGCGGCTGAGGACAGCGACGCATATGCCGAGCTGGGCGAACAGGCGGCCACACAAAAGGCGGGCGAGCCCACGGAGGAGGAGGCATAACACGATTCCGGCGAGCTGCTGGGCGCGCTTGTAGTAGTTGCCATTGTGGGCGTGGCTGCTGCTGTAGCTGCCTTCGACTGTTTGCTCTGTCGCCTGGCGGGCGTCTTTTTGCTGGTCTTGGCTGGCTTCTTGGACTTGACAGGTGGCGTAGGTTCCAGCTCTAGTTCCAAATCCAGCTCCGGCTCGGTATCCAGGCTAACATGCGCCTCTCGGTTAGCGCTCTCGCGCAGACACTCGACCAAAAATTCACTCTCGTAGCTGGGATCTTGCAGCGATTCACTCAGCATGCCAATGTACTTCATGGCCAGACGCAGCGTCGTTATCTTGGTTAGCTTCTCGTTGGTATTGGCCGCATCCTCACCCGTAATAGACTGCGGCACACAGTGACGCAGCTGCTCGAAGGCCGTGTTGATCTCGCGCATGCGTGTGCGCTCCCTGGCGTTGGCCGTCTTGCGGCGATACTTGCTCAGCGGCGGCGCTTTCGTCTTGGCCGAGCTCTTCGCCTTGGCCTTGGCAGCGGGTGTCGCCGTCGGCTGCAGCTCTGCGACAGGCGCGGGCGTCGTCTCCGGAAGGTCGCCGGGCAGGCGCTTCTGTCGCTTCTGGCGCAGCGAATACTTCTCGCCGCGTCGACTGCCCGCCGCTGTGCTGGCCTTGCGCTTGCGCGAATCCGCTTTAGGCTGAACGCTGTCTGGCTCCATATCCAAGTCAGCGTAGTTGTGCAGCTCGCATGTGCTGGATTTCATCTGCAAAGACGTTTAAGAGTGAAAGTTCGAGTCAGTCATGGATTTCAATTGATTCGTTATGTTTTGGGCGGCTGCCTGCCTGCCTGCTTGGAAGCAGGCGTGGGCTGTGCCGCACCAGCAATCAAAAGCAATTAACAATTTGTTTGAATCGCCCAAAAATGCTGCTCCATCAAAATCCACTTCGGAACGGGCCAAACCAATGGAGCGTAACTTTTCTAACCCACCCGCTAACTTCCGTAAACGGTTCAAATTGCTGCGCATTGAAGTCGCAGTGGTGGTGCCGTGTGGTGGTGTGGTGTGGTGTGGTGTGGGCGCTTCCTTCATGTCGCCGTCGTAAAACCCACTGAAGCCGAAAAACGCATCAACCAAAAAGTCATAAACAAATTTATTCTTAGGCAGGGTTCAGCTTTTCCAATTTGGACTTCATCAAAACCAACTATTTTCCAATTCTACAATTATTCGCTGCATTGCGCAATCGCAAATGCCACGCATCAAATAAACACTACCCATGAGTATATCTGGTGAGTGGCTTAAATATTCATTCTCGAGCCTGACTCATGCGCGGTTCCCAGAAACGGACAAAGCGAAAATGATTCGTCAGTGGTTGGCGTTGTTAATCCTAATAAGGTTGCCTCAAGGCGCCAGCTGTGGCACTTGCAACGCGGCTGCAGCTCATTGCAAATATCTCACAAAACCAGACACACGATCTTAATCTTAATCGTTGCGCAATTGGCGAATGTCTATCAAATTAGAAACAATCAATCTATAGGAAGAGGCGCGTCCAACAAACCATTGGATTAGTTAAGGCTAATGAAATAATACCATGGCTACCAAAATAATTGGCAAAGAAACACATTTTCATATTCATATTCAATTAAATTTCAGAACAATCAGGAGTTCTCTAGTCTCGAGTGGCTCGCCGAGCTATCCACAAGCGTTCTACATACATAAATACTATTACATTAAAAGCAGCCGCTGCTGTGCTTCTTCACTTGCTCCACACATTATGGGATTTGTATTCTTGAATAGCATCGGTGCTTAAAGCCCGATCTAGATACAAATTGCAGGCCATAAATGTGACAACCAAATGCAAGGCTCTTAAGCTTATTATTAGTTGTTTTTTCTTTAATTGAGGGAGGGGGGCGAGAGACGGTATCCATAAAGGTGTATTAAGCTATGAAAGAGTTTGACTTATAGGTGACTTATATAAATAAGTTTTAAGCAAATCGGGAAAAAATAAAACTTCACCCAAAAAATTTATTAATCGCATTTCTACCGAAGATGTTTGAATTCTGCGAAAAGTGTGTCTCAAATGATTTTTCTTATAGATCTTTGGAAATAAATTTGAGCGCGAAACGTCACCCACCAAATCTTTGACCTCCATTTCCACCAAGGAGGAATGGATTTTTCGAAAAGTGTCAAACACCCCTCAAATGAATTTGAACAAAGATCTTTGAAAATAAGTTTGGGGCCGATCGGATCGTAAACAAAAAACTTTCATTCAACCGTTTTCCGCCAATTTACCACTGTTGCGGGTGGAATTTCCCAAATCGCTGAAATACGTATTCATTAAGTTCTTATGTAGAGCTTTGAAAATAGGTTTGAAGTAAATCAGACACAACTTAAAACTAGACCCAAAAAATCTTTAAGTCGCATTCCCCCCGAAGAAGTTTGAATTCTGCGAAAAGTGTGAAACACGTATCAAATGATAGATCTCTGGAAATGAATTTGAGCGCGAAACGTCACCCACCAAATCTTTGATCTCCATTTCCACCAAGGAGGAGTGGATTTTCCTAAAAGTGTGAAACACCCCTCAAATTAATTTGAACAAAGATCTTTGAAAATAAGTTTGAGGCCGATCGGATGGTAAACAAAAAAGTTACGATCACCAATCAGTAGGTCAGTCAGTCAATCAGGACAAACAGTTTTATATATAGAGATGATAAACTCGTTCTGCGTATGGTATAAAAGCATATACTTTTCACTTTTGTAGTCTCGAGTCCTTGTAGTTACCGACATCGACGCTTTCACACAGAAGGTAAATCGACCTATCTCGTCTTCCAGATTAAGCACATACATATATGTACTTGCACGTTTTTTAACTGTTGCATACAGTTGGGCAAAACCAATACACCCTTTAATATAATACATTTTAAATGGATACCTTTTGGATAACTGTGGTAAGAAGAATGGAAACATAACTTTGACATAAACATAACAATTTAAAATTATTATTTTCAAACATATTTTCTGTCTACAATTTAAAAACAAATCAAAAGATAAATTTCCTTAATTTTTTTTAGAGTCTAGCAATCACTTTCCACGCTTGAATTACCAAATTAAAATCTTTCCACGAGACACTCACATGTTGTGTGTATTTGTTGGCTGAAATGAACATTGAAAAGTTGTCTTTAAATGTTTGCCCAACAATCAACTCTAGCAACAATGTTGTTGAGAAAGTTTGTTGCTTTTTTTCTGGTTTGAATTTTTGCGGTAGGTTAACTGTACTAAATATTTTGCTTGACTTTTTCCACATGGTTTTTATTCTCTATTTATTTATTTATTTTGTTTTTCCTGCGGTTGCGGCCGAAACAACAACAACAACAACAGCAACAAGAGACGTGAGTAACGGCAGGCAAATGGCAGCTCTTAATGAATACATTTTAATGCAAGAATTAAGTTACATCAAATGTAACCTGAAGCCCGTCACGGCGTCATCAACAAAAACAGCAACAACAAGTTGCCACCGCCTAAACAAAATGTCGAATGCTAACGCCCTTGCCTGCTGCTTGGATTGCGCCTTGGCCTCATAAATAGCCAGCTCTGAGGCTGTGCAGAGGTGTAAATCTGCGGAGATTGATTGCATACAACGTCTCATCGGAAAGAGGGAGCGAGAGAGAGAGAGAGAGAGAGAGAGAGAGATCTTGTGGCCATGTCAGGTTCACATAAATGGACAATTTAGTGCAGATTGCCAAAATTGGCAACAGATTCTTGTACTGAGTCTTGCCCGGCACGGCCCAGTCTCAGTTGGACTCGACTTGGTTAGTTGCTGGCACTTGTTGCATAGCTTTGACCATTCCAAGTGATTCGTGGCTTAAAACAAGGTTGTTGTTGCTTATTGATTGTTGTCTGTCGCGCAGCCAGGTACTTTTCATCATTTACCGTTAATCGCGCTATAACACCCAGACTAGGCTGTGTGAGAGATGTGATACTAAGTTAATATATCAGACGAATTGGCAACTAACTAATGCTAATGCTAATGCCAATGACTAAACTACTCGCTTCCTATGTAATCTTCGTGTTTGAGTTGCAACATTACCTCAAAGTCCGCCACTTTCAGCACGTTCTCAAAGGAATTCACTTTGCTCTGTTCGTGTCCGCTTTGATTTCTGTTTGTTGCCCTCGCGATTTACATGGCAATTAATTTTTGCCACGCGACGTTCGTTGCATGGAAACACGAAAGCTCAAGAAAGAAAAGCCAACGACTGCTGAATGATCTTAAGAAAAATTGCTCAAACTGGTTATTGACTATTTAACCAACTATTTAATCAAAAGATTAATTTATAGGTATTCTATCTAAAATAAAATCTGCTCAATTATTGGGGATTCGCTGAGGTGCGGACAAAGAATGAGTTGTAATTATAGTTAATCAATTATAAAGTAATTATTGACGAGTTTTCGTTAAGCACTGAAAAGTAGTATTGATAGTTATTACTCATTAAGTTATAAACATGAACAAAATATACAAAAGTACGAATACAGGCTGGAATCTCAGGTGGGAAGATGGATGTGATGAAAACCAGTATGAGAGATGGAAACATATATATCTATGGTCTATATGGTAAAATGCATTTGCGAGTTTTCAAAGTTAATATACCCTCCAACTATAGGACATGAGGGGCGCGTAATTGTAAGTAGGTGCACAAAAAGTTTATGCGACATGCAAGAAACAAGCTGCAATTAAGAGCGCTGCACCTTCGCGGCTGACCCCCCTCAAACCTCTCCTGAGAGCCTGACAACCTTCTGCCGCGAATCGTTTGCTCGGCCGTTTCATGTGGTTGCTTTTGGCGCCAAAACGACGTGAAAATTAGCAAGTTCCGTGTGTTGGCTGTACAAATTGCATGCGATTAAAGATACTCGCGGATAATGAATGTTCTTCAACACACTGCGAAATGTGGCCTGCGCGGGCGTGGCCGGTCACAGGATGTGTAGGAAGCGCCACAGGATGCGGCGCTGGCTTTTGTACTTTCTCGCTTGTTGATTGCCAAATTGGAAGCGCGCGTCGCTTTACGGTTGCTGCTTAAGTTTTCAATTACGCGCTAGCACAATGCGAAACCAATTGAAATGCGCAGACAACAAACATACACGGCTTACATTTCCCTCTTTACCCGCTCACCCAGCCTAAATTTCCCATGCAACAACAGCCAACTAGACAAAAGGCGCGCCGTGCGTGCGCCCAGCCATGAATGGGCAGGGCGGGGCTCGTTATAAAATTGTTCTACGTTCGGCTGTTTTTTTTTGATTTTGTTTTTGGGCGCTGCAGGGAGCAGTTGTCTGTGCACTTGAAACTGCCGCCCAGCGGACTTCTGCCTGCCCCTCACTTGTAATCGCTGCATTTTCAGAGGGTATCGAATGCATTCGGAACTGTTTCTTGCACGCCTGTCTGCATGCCACAAATGGGGGCTGGGGCCTGGGGGTTGGCACGAAATTAAAATGAAGCGTTCGCTTCAAAGAAATTGGAAATTAAAAATGGAGCACATTTAATATCGACTGGCTAATTGACTAACATAAAATGAATATTACTTTAATCTTTAAAAGATTAATCAAGAAATTGTAATTAGTTAAGTTACTTAACTAGTTCTCAATAATATAATTTAACTTAAGTTAAGTTGCAAATCCTAAGCGGTTACCATGAACTCCCCTGCTAAATTCTAGAATCAGTGTCAAAAACAGTATGATTATTTTTATGGTAATTTATTTTTTATATTTTTTCAAAAAAAAAAAAATTTAACTTAATTGGCTGTTTCAGAAAATCAAGTGGAATGCATCATATTGAAAATACTTGAACGTTTTTCAAATAAAGTCATACCAAATATCTGAAATTGATTGGCTTATTTGTACGATCCTTAGTCGCTGTAAGCATCCTTAACCAATTTGTTTTTGAAATTCTCTATCTTATTTACATTACCGAGCCGTGTTAGGATAGAACTAGCTCGAATTCGGCTGAGCACTTCATCATCACTTCAACATTTCCATATTCTCAATTAGCAGCTTATGGTAATTCGGATGATAGCGTACATACATTCCACCATTAATATCCACTGATGAGTTGCAGACACTCATCTTTCTGATCAGCCAGACGATCTCGCAGGCCATGAGCTGAGCGGAACGCGTTGCGACCGTTCCGCACATATACCGAAGGTTATTTAGGACCATGGCGTTATTGCTGTACTAACCAAGCGACTCTGACTTAATCTAAGCGAGACTCGAACTTCAATTCGGTCTGTATGGTCTACGACAGGATACCTCTGAAACATTTCGGTATTCTCTGTTTTCTTCACATAGCAGGCATTGCCCACAATCAGGCCAATGCGGCAGTTGGGTTGCCTGTGGGCGGAGGCTATCAGAGTTATATAGATATATATGAAATTGATTGGCCCATTTTTTCGATCTTCAGTCGCTGTAAGGATCCTTAACGAAATTGTTGCCGAAAATTGCAATTCATTTACATGAGCATATGGCAGCTATTAGAGCCGCACCGCGCCCCGAGCCATCTTCGGATAGAACTAGCTCAAATTCGGCTGAGCACTTCAGCAACATATTCATATTCTTAACTAGCAGCTTATGGTAATTCGGATGATAACGATACATTCCACCATCAATACCCACTGACGACTTGCAGACATTCATCTTTCTAATCAGACAGACGATTCCGCAGGCCACGAGCTGAGCGGAACGCGTTGTTACTGTCTCGCAGATATACCGCAGACAGGCGAGATCCTTCTCGTTGCAAGTTCTGATGCCCAGGCTATTCAGGACCATGGCGGTACTGCGGTACTGACCAGCTGCCTCTGACTCAATCTCAGTTATAAAGCGAGACTCGAACTTCCATTCCGTCTGAATTGCCTGCGACATGAGACCCTTGAAAATGACATCTTTTCTCATCAGATCCAGTACGATTTGACGCACTATTTCGCCTAGATACACGCCAGAGATGCACTTGTCAAAGGTTTGCGTCATCGGATCGGGCGTCAGCTGGTCCATGGCCTTATCGTAGGATGTGCGTATGAAGTCCAATACGCCATTGTCGCCAAAGGATCCCCACTCACAGTTGACGATCATGTTCGCCTTGCGGCTAGTCTCATACCTCTGAAACATTTCGGTATTCTTTGTTTTCTCTATATAGCAAGCATTGCATACATTGCCCAAAATCAGGCCAATGCGGCAGTTGGGTTTCCTGTGGGCGCAGGCCATCAGGGTTCCCGTCGTATCGCTTAGTATGGCGACAACCCTGACTCTGAGATCGAGACGGCTGTCGATCGCCTTTTGCAGCATTTGGACAACATTATGGCCAACAACGTCTGGGCAGTTGAAGCCCTTTGTCCAGTTGACCAAGACGCCCTTGTTAATGGCCGTCTGTTTGCATGGAAACGAAAAGGTGAAGCCCAGTGGCAGGTTATCCCATGCAATTCTTTGCTCTATGCAAAATTCGGCCAGGCACTCGGCAATATAATCAAAAAGTCTTTTGCCCGAGCCAATCAGCAGATTCTTACCCAGGAGAAAGCTCTTAGACTGAATATCAACATCTGTTTCGCTTTTAAGATCAACCAATAAAACACGAAAATTCGAACCGCCCAGATCCAGGGCCAGATACTTGCCCCGCTCCTCGCCTGTGGGTATCTCCTGTACGTACGTAACATAGCATTTCACCGTGGCACGCGAATTCGTTTCCTTCCGTAGGCCCATTTCGATTTCTTTGCTCAGCCGCTCAACAACCTCGAACATTTGCTCTTCGGTTAGCGTGAACTGCTTGCAGATCTCATAGGCTTCCGGAAATTCTTGCTGTGGCGAAGCCATTCTTAAAAATCTGCCAAGGAGCGGGGCGCACAGCTGGCAAACAAAAATTTAGAATTTGTCGTTGAGTCGAGTTTCGAGTTGTTTCGAAAACTGAATTAAAATTCAAGTTTTCAAATTGGCACAACAGAAGCCCAGATCCCTTGGGGCTTTCGCTTGCTGCGCCTGCGCGCCTGCCATGGCACAGTTACCCCCGTATGTATGTGCACAAATTACCTACATTCCACAAATACCTTCAAATACCTTTTTCAAATTAAATTCTTTTTTTGCCCGGCTTACAAGGCCTAACATTCCCGTGCAACAACAACAAGGTAAACAAAAGGTGCCCTGTGCGTGCGCTCAGTCGTGAAGGGGAAACGGGGGCACAGGCGAGTAACAATTCGAGTTTTTTTTTCGGCGTTTCAGGGAGTAACTGTCTATCCAAAGTGCACTTGAAACTGCTGGCGAGCACCCGTGAGTCCCGGTTGCAGTCGCTGCATTTTTAGGTGTAGCCATTAAATTTAGAACTTTTTTTCTGCACGCTTGTCTGCACGCCACAAAAGGTTGGATGGGGGGTATGTGGGAGCGGAGCTGTGAGAAAGAGGGCAGTCGGTAGTGGTTGGATGGAAAATGAAGCGTCTGCTGGAAAAAAATGCAGCAAATATGCGAGAAAAACTGTAATTGTTACTAAGCTGCACAAGCAAAGAGCAATGAGATGAGGAAGAGAGTTTGTTGGATCTTTGTGCTTAGAAAAATTTTTTTTTTCTTAAAGTTAAATACATTAAATAGAAAGTAAGAACTCTGCGATATCTTGTTGTTACACGTTTCCATGCAAAAATATATTGAATAATTTATAATTTTGAAGTAAAGATATAAAACCAAAATAATAATGGTAAATTAACTCGACATTAGGTTTCTTTCCAGAAACAAGCTTTATATAAACCGATTATTTTATAGTTTTCATTTTTTATAAAAGGTTATAATTTATCTTTGGGCTTTTGTTAAGTAAGCAAATTAATATAAGTGAAACGTATTCTGATTTTATATTTATCCTTATGTTGGTAACAACCCTCGCATTGTGCAAGTCTGTATAAAGTCTGACTGAGTCCGATTTTTTTGTCTTTTTGCCCCAGCTCTAAAATTAGTTTTTATTGTATGCAAGTTTTTTCTCTTTTCTTTTTTTTCGATTTGTGATTCCTTATTTGCTTTTTGTGGAAAGCATCAGAAATCTGCTGCTTCTTCTTGTACTTAGTGCGACTGTAGTTTTTGTTGTTGTTGTTGTTGTTGTTGTTGCTGTCTCGTGCTGTTGCCAGTTGCATGTGGCCGCTTTTATTGTTTCCTTCAGCACTCTGCCTGCATCTCTGCGTCCATTTGCACCTCGTGTGTGTTGCCGTTGGGCTGATTTTATTTTTAGTCTGCTTGCGGCGGGCTTCTGATTTTAAATCTTTGTTTTCTTTGCTGTTTTTCGCATCTTTCGATTTTTGTTTTATGGCTCTTGTTGTTATTGGGCTGTGTGGCTTGTAGCCATTTCTATGTTGTTTTTTTTTGTTGGCACGCTTCGCTTGAATTTGTTTGATTTTCCATTTAAGTTGAGTTTGTTTATTAAAATTGGCACACGTTGCGTATGTGTGATATGCTTGTGTTTATCTACGAAATGACAATGTCTATCTGCCTCTTTGCCTCTCTCTCTCTAACTGCCTGTGTATGTAGATATTTCGGTAGCACTGTGTGGTTTTGTATTACCAATTAATTTTTTTTTATTTGAATGATTTTTGACAGATTTAGTGGCATTTGCTTTGACCAATTTCCTTTTGTTTTTCCATCGGGGGGAAGATAACCACAGCTGTTTTCACGTCGTACACATATTTGGGTCATGGTGCCAGGGTCTTTTTTATTTAAGTATTTAAATTTTTTTTTTTAATTCCTTACCAGCATACTTATAACAATTGAAACAATACTTATGATTTTTAAATATAAGCATTAATTAGTTTAATTATGTGCCTAATTAAATTTTTGCCAACATTAAGCTAATGTGATAAAAGGGGTTTGGATTTAAAAATTAATGTATAACAGTTTTATATACATTTTAAAAATATATAAAATACTAGAGGGTATAACCCGGCCTTGCCCGTGGTACGTATGTTATAAAATCAATGTTCTCAAACAAATTTGAAATGATTTTGAAACTGATCGGACGGTAAACACATAACTTTCATACAAACGTTTTCCGCTAATTTAACACTGTTGCGGGTGGAATTTCCCAAATCGCTGAAACACGTATTCATTACATTCTCATGTAGACCTTTGAAAATAAGTTTAAAGCAAATCGGACACAACTTAAAACTTCGCCCAAAAAATCTTTAAATCGCATTCCTCCCGAAGATTTTTGAATTCTGCGAAAAGTGTGAAACACGTATCAAATGATTTTTCTTATAGATCTCTCACCAAATCTTTGACCTCCATTTCCACCAAGGAGGAATGGATTTTCCTAAAAGTGTGAAACACCCCGATCGGATGGTAAACAAAAAAGTTACATTCAAACGTTTTTCGCGGTTTTTCCGCACTTGCGGGTGGAATTTCTCGAAACCCCGTCTTAACGTGCACCTACATCACATAAGGTAGCTACAGTGAAAATTTCAGCTTCCTCGCTCTTACGGTTAGGGATGTGCGTTGATCACCACTCAGTCAGTCAGTCAGTCAGTTAGTCAGGACAAACAGTTTTATATATAGAGATTTGCCTTGTGATAAATGAAATGTTCATCAATAAATCGTTTAATATAAATAACTTAAGGTATTTACCATATATGCATTTTCTTTTCAGGGAAAACTTTACCTGTTATCTGTTTATCTTTATAAAATATGTCTTCATAAAAATGACTAAATGTTTGTTTACAAACCGAAGAAAATTGAATAAAAGTCATCACTAAATCACGAGAAAATGAATAAGAGCAGCGGCAAATCGAATAAATTTCTATTTACAAATAATGATTGATCAGACCAATTGGCAGAGGTGATGTGCAGTAAATAATGCTTAAAATAGTACAACAATAATCGATATGCCTTGAGTCACAGCTGCTGATGCATTAATTGAAATTTATTGTCTTTGGGCAATTCTTTGCCAAAATTGTATTCAATTGAGTGGAAGTTTTCGCCTTGCGCCATGTTAACCCAATAAAGTTCATGAAGGGCACGCAAGACAAGAGGTCTGCCTGGGCACAGGCCCAGAGGAGGGGGTGGTACATTTAAAACTGTTGACAAGTTGCCTGGCCCCAGCCCAGCCTCAACGGACCAAAACTTTTCAACACCTTGGGCAAATAAATGCGTCGCTTGCCGCTGAGGCAAGCGCCGGGGTCGCCTCTCCGGGCAGCTCCCCCCAGTTGCTGCCTGCTTCTTATTTCTTGTCTTGTCTATTTTTATTGATACAACAACGACAACAACACTAACAACATATGAGATATGTACATATTTATTTACCTTTTTGATTTCATAAATCCAAAAATTGTGTGAGCTGCTCGCCTGCCGCTGTTAGCTTTTGGTTTTGTTGTAGTTTTGAGTTTTTTGAATATATTTTAAGTTTATAACTGACGAAGCTTTAACACTTTTTAACACTTTTAATGGTATTAGTTGTTATTTTATTTGAATTCTTGCTTCATTAAAGTTAACCCGCAGACATTGCGAGAATACGAAAACGAATTCGAATCAATTTAAATTCCACAGCATCAGCTAATTAGTCATAGAATTTTGTTTTGCATTTTTTTGTCGCTTTTTTTTTGTTTGTGACTTTATTTTAAATTAACGCTTGCCTCATACATACATTTTGGCAGATTAACACAATAAAAATAATTTTGTTTTGATTTTTGTTTTTTCTTCCGAATAAATTCTTTTTGTTTCCTCAAACTTGCTCAGCAAGACTTGTTTTATGTTGCTTATATTTTTTTTAAAATTGTATATTTAGTTTGTTGTTAGTTTTTTTTTTTGTTTGCGCTGACTTCGAAAAATATCTGTTGGATACGCGCGCTGCAACTGTATGTAGGAAAAGCCTCGAAGAACAGTTTTTCCAAAACGTGCGAGCCGCGTGTGTCAGCAGCGTGCCTGCAACTGTGTATGGGTGTGTGTGCGCGCGATCGTGTGTGTGTGTGCGGCCGGCTGCTAAAAATATCCGTGAGTACGCGCGCTGCCGCTGTGTATCTGTATCTATGTATCTGTATCCAATAACCCGAGATGGCGCACAAAAATACACGGCCCGCCGCCGTTGCTGCTGCTTGGAGAAAGGTGCGTCTGCGTCTCCGTATTCGACGTGCTGCGTCCGCTTGCTGCGCCTGTTCACTATGCACTAAGCAGCAGCGATTGTCATCGTCGTCGTCGTCAGCCGTCAATGTCGTCCACTCAGTTGTGTGCGTCTTTGTTGGACAGCAGCAGCACTTGGCTCTGACTCCGTTAGCCAAGCCAACGCGGCGTTTGAGTAGGCTTACTGGGCCTGAGACGGGCTACAGTTGTTGTTCTTATTGTTGTTGTTGCTGTTGCTGATACGGATGCCCACACAGAACATGCTCCGGGAACCCGGGACCGGCACTTGTCTGATGCGCTGAGCGTGCGGCGCGCTATTGAAACGATCAATGAATGAAATGCGGCATTAAAAAGCAGCACTTTACGTTTGTATCTTACAGATACGACTACGAGCTGAAGCGAGCCAGCTCCACAGCCGACCAACAAACCGCTAAACCCACTGCCACCGTCGAGATCGTTGCTCGCCAACGCCAACACAGCGTCATTGAAGCCCCAATCCCGCTGAGCAACAGCAAACCAGTTCTTGTTACTCTCCACTCGTTCCACACTCGCACTCACCCACTCACCCACTCAAATCACTCGGCTTGTGTGGGTGTCGCTGCGTTGGCAGGCCGGTCGGATCGGTCGGAACGGTCGGATCTGCTGCTCTTGAGTGACTTTTTCGTTTACACTTTTGATATTCGAGTTCAATTTTCGTTTTCATTTCGAGTTGAGTTCATTTCGTTTGAGTGTTCTCTGAGATTTGTCTGTTTGGGCAGCGCTCTTGGTATGATCTAATAATGCCAGGCAGTTATTTATTTAAATTTATTACTAATTTTTTATTTATGTCGCTGCGCTGCA